TACAGATACGTACACTCCGGCGTGATGAAAAAAATTTTGCGGGGATAGTGGGCGATGTAGCACCCCTGCGGCAGAATATAAATTACGCAATTTGTATAAAGAGCGGAAACTACTTCTGCTTCGCTTGGAAGTGAGTCCCCTACAGTGCGTCTCAAAATAAGTGGTTTATCTAAAAGACCGACATTTGAGCAAGAAAATCAATTTTTGAAACGGTAGAAAATTTACGTGCAGCTCTAATAAAATACAAAACCCAAAATAACAAAGTTAAAAAATTATTTTGTATTTTTAACCCTTTGCTAAATACACGTGGAGCCAAACAGATGATTGTAATTTTTTGTATAGAATACTTATTTTATTCAAGAGAGCCATTTTTCGAATATTTTTGACATTTAATTCTGAGGTCCGAATTTTGAAAATTTTAGATTTTGGAATTTTCTCAGTTGCAAAATAATTTGATGTTACGTTGAAGAGTATACCTAGTTTGAAAGATCTTGTAAGAACATAAAGAGATATGCGGGCGGCATAAATGCTTTTATGCTCAGCAACGTCCGTGCGATCAATTCGAAGTCCGGATCTGGAAACGCGTAAAAGGAGTTGAAGAACGCGGAATGGTGAGGAATAAACAGAAGAAAAGAAGGTGGCAAACAGTTTTACAGGCAAATATACACCACCTAGAAGTACATACACAGTACCATTCAACAGTATTTGGGGAAGGAAGAGGAAGAACAGCTATATCACTTGGAGAACATTCCTGCTTTTTGATTGGTTAATTCACTGAGCTATACAGAATTTCCATAAATTAAACATTTCTATTTTTCTGTGAATTTTCAAATTAAGAATTTTTAAAATTTTGCAAAGTTCGAAACCGTAAAATTGACTAAACATGTTTCCTTTATTACTTATCAAAGTTCAAAATTCGAATATTTGTACTACGTTTGAAAGACTATTTCTTCAGGTTTTTCTAGGCATCGACGAGGATAAAAATCACGCCAATACGCTTCAACATTCTCGCAACTCGAGCGTGGAATATGTAATGTTAGAGGTAGGAGGTGGAAGGCATACGTGGAGAACATTTTGACCCTGCAGGAAGCATAAGTACGTGCATGGCTCAGGGTGACGAGCACAGGGCAATCCGCAAAAAGTTTCCGCTTTACAATGCTACGCCGGGGGCGCCTTGATTCTCGCGCGATGCGATACTGAAATGTCGCTACGTGTTACCTCTCTCCCTTCCTTTTCCTCCGAATTTCGAAGCAACATCGAACCTGATAAAATATATGCACCTCATCGATGCACGGTAATATCAGATTTTACGAGCACGCCATTGCAAAAGCATCGATAATTCACTATAACTTTTAGCTTCTATAATCGACGCCATTGTATACGGATATTCGAGATTTATAGTCTGATCGTTTGTGTGTTCAGCTTCTGCTTCTATGGCTTTATCTTTGCTGTAATAAAAAAGTATTTGAACCTCTGGACCGAAATGCAATATTATGATTAAACACTCCCCGTAAGGTAACAGGATTTCACCCACCCCCTACTAAAAATCCTAGTTACACCAATGCGTGAAAAATAACTTGATCAAAAGTGACATTGTATCAGAAAAGATCTGCATACATCACTCCCATGGTGATCGTAGATTTTTCACTCCCTCCCCACAGAACGATCTCTCGTCTGATTTAACGACGAGAAGAGGGTTGACTTGGACGTCAGAGTCCTCTTGTTAGAGAGGTAGTCAACGAAGTTTCCGTCTTTGGTAGTCGAGCTCCCTTCTCGTCTACTCATAATGAACAATTAATATGCAAACAGCGATTACTTGATTCCAAGTTTGGCAGTACGTTTTAATGGGCTGTTCGCCAAATCCTGGATCAAAATTCACCTGTACATCCTTGTTTCTTTTTGGATAAAAATGAAAAAAGAATCATCATTCATGATTACAATTTACCTCTATTTGGAATTTAACATAATCGTCTTCATAAATGAAACGAAAGAAATTGGAACGATGGAATTCAATAAATCGATCATTAACCGTTCTATCGGTTCGTTTTCTATTATCTTGAAAATTAATAAAGCAGCAGTATTCTTGGTAAACGTAGTCTACGTTGACAATGTTCCTCATTAAAAGCGAGGAGGTCGGTGGCTCGAAAGGCATAGCGCTATTATTGTATTCATGAGAAGCTTCTTTCTTATCGTGGCGGGGTCCTTCTCATCGAATATCCAACATCAGAGATACCCCAGACTCTATTCTTTCCTCCTCGTGTCCTGCAGGCCTGTATAAAAACCCAATTATATGTCTGACGAGGATGGCTACCGATTAAGTATGCAAGGGTCACCGAAGAATCGACCGTGAAATTGGCCCGATTGTTTTGAGTTACTCGAGGGATACCGTGAGACGCGAACGAAAAAAGAAATTCAGGATTGCTTAACGGGGGGAAAAAATCATGGGTATAAAATACCATGAGTTTTTCAAATTTAAAAACTAGCGAAAAAATTCGTGTCTAATTTCATACCATCGAGTAATTGATCGGTCTACGCGATATACTCCACCGCACAGTTTTCGAATTTAAATAGAAACGATTAGCCGTTTCGATCAGAGGGAAAAGGTAAATATCATCAGAAAGTTTGTTAACAGCGACGAGTTCTAAACGAGGCTGTTTAACGTGCCAGAGTAACAACGATATTAAGCCATCCATTCGCAAAGGAGGGATTGAAAACGAATTTTATCAACTATACGCATCTCGTCGTGGCGGGGTGTAATTCAGGAAAATTGGAAACAACCCTTCTCGACCGGCAGTGAAGTTAGGGGATTTCGTAGGAGTGAACGGGGCTCTTGAGGTACTTCGTATGGAAGGTTTTAATAGCCAATCTGCGGGGCGCTGAAACGATCTTTTATAGCTGAACACATTCACGACCGGCGATGTCGGTGTTCTGTGTGTAGTTTAATTCAAGGGTGCTCTGTATAGTTCGAAATCGTTTCTTCACCACTTCCATACACGTATTATTTGGCTGCGTATCGTGGTCGTATCGAAGTTCATAACAAATCGGAATTAATGCTTTGAAGGTAATTAATATTTTGTAAGGTAGGAAATATGCACATTTAATTTCTGTAAATTCTAAGTAGTTTTCCAAATACCTGACGTTACATGGTAAACTCATAAGGAAAAAGAGAAAAAGGAAAATGGAGTGATCGGTTGTATTTTCCACTTAATTTTCTCGAATAATATCGGCGTCGATCGAGCGTGTATCCATCGAAAAACGGATGACAGGAAAAATGTAACGACTGAGTGACGTGAAAGCTGATTTCATCCCCTCAATTTCACTGAATTGCAGTCATCCCCAGCAAGATTTTAGCCCCGCAGGCAAGATGTCTGAACGGGTGCGAGTGAAGGCACTCAGCCGGCTACGTTCGTACTGGGCCACCTTCGAGATCGCTGCGTGAACTTAGCGATCCGTGAAATGGCGCGAAGGGTGACGCGAAGGCAACAGAATTTCAAGGGTGGTAATTATTAGCTGTGCCGATTTCAACGGGGCCGCCAACCAGTTGCGGATATTAGGTATGTGCCCTAAAGGCACCGCATGGGAACTAGACCAACAAACGTATATGTATCATCCTTTGACAATATGGTGCGAAATGTTGCGGAATTATTCAAAATATGGATTTAAGCTGAACATACTATCGTCGCAATAAGATTCTCACGGATATTCGTATTATCTAACCCTTTTCTTTTTTTTTGACGATCAAGAAACTGCCAGAGATGATGAGAGCCAGCACCCTTCGTCTTTCTGTTCCTCGGTCGTGACCTAATCCGACGGACTTAACTGCTCGACTTTACGTATTCTGCGGAATTAGAGGATAAAGATTATTAAGTGACGGGTCGAAGGGTCTTTCGAAACGAAGGGACAGCCGGAAAATCCTGGCTGACGTCCCGTGAGATTTTCCCTTACCAGAAGATCCGCTTCGGTACCTGCTCCCGTTTGAAATGAAATTTTTTATTCGGGAAAAAGATAGAGACTGCCACTTTTGAATCAGAGGGTCTATTTAAATATTCCAAGAGATTGGAAATAAAGGATACTTGAGTCGAAAAATTCCAAAATTCGAGAAATTAAAAATTTCACAAATTCGAAATTCCCAAAATTTCCGAATCTTTAAGATACCTTCGCCATTTCAGAAATATCCAAGTCGGGTAAATGATTTGAATATTTTCCTTTTAACCAGCTTGTTAGGAAAAACCTACAGCACAAGTTGTAATTTTCCCGTGGTCCAGATGTCACAGGGTTAGGTCAAAATTACCGGGCTGCGAATTAACCGGACATTAAACGAGCTACGGTCTTTCGTTTGACGAAATCCGTAAACGCGTTAGGAAGTTTCGGTGAATTACACGGTCCAGGAGAAAGTTTCCGGTAACTCGGTCTCCTGTATCATCCCTTGGGAAAGTTAGCTGCACCCAGCCTAAGTCCCGCCATGTCACGTAATCGTACAGTGATCATGTTAATCGGGTAACCGATAAACCAATTTCAACTACGCTTACCACGTCCAACCTTCATTCTAATCATCGACTTTTTTACCTATGCGATTCCAAAAGCAATTATTTTTTAATTCACGGAAGTTTTTTAAAAATGTATCATTATTAAATTACTCAGCTCTTAAAACTGAACACCCCATATATTACTGCATTTTTCACCTTTTTTTTTCATACAGTACCACAGCAGTGCAATGTACAACTTAGCTCTTAGCAACGAGGTGCAGCACTACGGAGAGGGTTGAAAGTGGTCCAACGTGTAGGACGCTGAGAGAAAAGGACAGATCTATGGACGTGTAGAAAGGAGAGAGGAAGATAGGATGCTTGGCAAACTGGTAAACTTTCAAGAAGCATAACCGTTACCGTAAGGCAATGACGAAGTGGCACTTCCAGTTTCTCGTGTAGGTAAATTCGTCTGTTCATCCTCGTTTCAAAACTATCTTCGGTATGAGAAATAATTCCAACTAACAACTAAGAACATTTTTTTTAGATATAATACTTGTTTTATTTAACGAGATTATGAAGTTACATGGAAGGACAAATAATTTGTCTTTCGATTCAACAAATTTCCAATAATTCCAACCATTTAGAAATGGTTTGAATGAGAGAATTGCGGTATTCTATACGGATAGTAAAGGGCGAATAGCAAGAGAGGAAATGAATAGGACTAAGGCGAAGAATATTTATTCTCCTTTTGCAAGCTGCTCTTTTGCGAAAAAATAAAAATGCTTGAAAACGCCGTGAGTGATTGTTGCTCGAACGGGTTATGCGTTTTAAATGCGCTTTATTATAAGCATCATTTGTTATCTGTTTAAAAATGACAATGCCACGGCTTTGGAGGGGATGGAGTGGACGAAAGCAAACTCGAGGAACAATTTATCAAGAGGAACGGTGACAGGATCAGTCATCTCCTCTGTGTCTATATTCTTTCTCCGTTGTGTTGTACCCGGAATCTTTTCAAGTTATTCATCTTGAAAATAATATATTCCATGCTGTTTGAACGCCAAAACTAATGTTTCTTCGTCGAACTTCTACGTTTGAATGATTTTCATCCCTCTGTTGCACTGAATTTGTTTGCAAAACAGAATATTATTATTCAAGCTTCTCCCTTGGTATGTAAAAATTTTAAGATTGCAAAATTGCAAAATTTCTATAAAACTTGGCTCACCCTAGAATTCATTTGAGACTTGAAATATCTTCTTCTTTGGAACGATTTAAAAAAAAATTGAAACGGGTGAAATTCCTTGGGATCCATGAAGTTTGAAAAATGCGTTAACCTTGTTTCCGAAAGAAAATGAAGCGACATCGTGTCACGAAGTCACATCATTCTTCACTTGCTTAAAGAGAAGAGCATCGAGCGTGAACAGTTTGCAGGGTTAGACAAGCAGCTGCAAGGTAATCTGTCAATTTATCCGTCAACGAAACTTTTACTAGGTTAAAGGAACGTTCGCTTCGAAAAACCACGGTTATATATTCTTCTTTTCCCAAAGGCTGTGACTCGTCGCATCGGTAGGTCACGTAACCTTCTGATCTTGTTCGTCCCGGTATATATCGCCGGCGGATCTCTTCGAACGATGACGACCCTTAGGAACAAGCGAGTATTTCGAGTCGTGACATGAGAAGAGCTCGTTATCGGCTAGTTCGATGAGATTCGCTCGATCACCTTGCCTTTCCGTCGCTGAAAAGAGCCCTGAAATTGAAAAGAGAACAAGTTCCCTTTTCTTCTGTCACAGAAATTCACTTTACTTTTCGATGATTCGTGTAAAAGTGGTTTACATTCGGATGGAAATGGTTGAATTATAGTTACTTATTTGAAGCGAATTTTCGCGTCAATTTATTCCACGATAAATTAAAATAATATTCGACGCACCGGGTGCGTCATTTGCACTTTCTCTTCCTTTTTCATAGAAAAAGACGTTACAATAAATTAATATTCAACGATGAAACATCAGTTAGATTACACATCTGAGGCTTTTTTAACGACAGATCTTTCGATCCGTCTGTTCGAATTTTCTTTTTCAGCTGGTTCTGTCAGAAGAAGATGGTGTGTCGTCGTTCAGTCTCGATTCAAATGGGCTCGGCGTATCGCGATCGCGCGTATCAGCTTCTGTTTCCACGACGTACGACTCCGTTTCCCATGAATAACGCATTTCCACGGGAAATCGATATGCAGATTGCGAAGTATACCCCACGTACAACGTTTCTCTTCTCCATTTCTCCTGTGCATCTCTTTCGAAGCACCGCTAGCTACGTGGCCAACGTTGGATTTGGGTCAGTAGAAAAGCGCATCTCTGCTGATTCTCTCGACTCCGCTGTCACGGGATCTATCGATCCAGGGACTCCAAAAAAAAAAAAAAAAGAAAAAAAAGAAATGAACGGATGGAACGTACGATTGTAAGAGCAATGTGCTACGTGAGCATTGAATTGAATCATCTTATTGTTGATATACAGAGTGCAGAGGAATTTTAAAGGAGAGTACAAAACCTTTGCAAACTCTAATGCCTATTACGATTCCTACTTGAAATGAAAAACCTAAGGTAATTTAATAATGTTTGTATTCGTTCGTCAACGGTTTGCTATTTGTTCGGTGATTTTCGAAACGAACCATTCGAAATCAATCTCCAAAAGCATTACGCATTAGCCTGCACTGATAATGACACTTCGGTTTCGCTGCGTCAACTTTAGTTAATTGATTTCTGCTGGCTCGTTCAGCTATTGTCACTACAATCATTTACCAATTGTAGATGATGTACAGAATTGGGCATGGTAGACATTTCTAAGGAGATTCTGAAATTTTTAAAATTTCAGTTAAATTTTTTAAGGTTTTGACATGTTGAAATAACTCAACATATTTGTCATTGTGATAGTTAATCTTTACTCCCACAAGTTGCCCAAAAATGATCCATCTACAAAGAAATACCCCTTTAATAACTCAAAGAAACCATTTATATTCGCATTAAAAACACAAAGGAAGAATAACAGTCTTTTAGATACTAATACCATATCTGAATAGACGCATGATCCCCTGTGACGATGATCGTTAATCGTACACCAGACAGCGTTAACGTTTCAGAAGCAAACGAGATCCTTCAGATTACAGAGCTCTTCACTTTTCCTGATTTATAATAAGACTGATCCCCCGGTTTGCTAGGGGAGAGGTTGCTCGGAAATCTCTCAAAGTTTTAATTACTCTCGCGTGGGTGCTAACGTTCCTTTTTTCCATCAGTGTTTCAGAACGACGATTCCGTGACGCGTAGCTACTAAATCCATGGAAACTTGATAACGGTTAAAGAGGGCCGGCCAAGTAAATTCCTTTGAGTAATTAACGTATTCCCAAGCTCTGAAGCAGGGAGGAAGGGAAAGAAGAGGGCTGCAGGAGGGTAAAAGCGCGATTCCATTTTGCATGGCGAATGCTAGAACTTGTCTAGTCTATGGTTCGTGGTCTTACGTGTGCAACAACATCTAGTTGTATCGAAACTGGGTCGCAGTTCCTAGCTTGCTATCAGATATACAGAATGTTTCAAAAGTAGCGCATACTAACGAAAACGCTTATTTAAGAAAATTTTTGAAAACTTTGCATTCCGAAACTTAAGGACTTAAGTTTTAGAACTATTAAATTTAGAAATTTTACAAGTCAGTTTTGAAATTTTGAAACTATTTTCCTTTCGATTTTGAGAGTGCATTTGAACATTAACATAGGACAACAGGAGTACTCAATTTTCAATTTTAAACCACAAATTGCAAAATGGTAGAGAAACTTTCAATTTTATTTTTACACGAAGAAAATATAGCTTTTATTTTGGTACACTCTGTATGTATGTTTAACATTCTTCTCATTGACCCTACGCCAGCTAAATTCTCGCGAATAATTCTGGGCAAACAGCCTCATTTCATGTCACGATACTAGCGAATCACGCTTTCAACGAATGCTACTTTTCCCAGGGTTTGTTGGGTATTTTCGTGACCCAGGATTTGTAACTCCGTTTGCAAGAGATTGGATGCTTTCAAATTAGATTTAAGTAGATTTAAGTGGATTTTGTAAGGAAGAATGAATTGCTACGAAAATTATATTTGAAAATTTATAATTAGCACGTAAAACAGTAAAGAATATTTTTTGTTGCATAAATGTTGAATATTTAAAAAGATTATTTATTTCTGAGAAAAATGAAAACTCGCATACATCAAACAGCTATTCAATTGGATTGTTAGACATTTCTTTGAAAATTTGAAACTTTTATATTTTCAAATAGACAAATTTTATTTTTGTATATTCATAAGCTTCTAAATTTTCAAATATCCAAATTACCAAATTTAAAAATATCAAAGTTGAATAATTTACAAAACTTCCCACAACTCATACTGACCGCACCGTACACAGGGGTGCCTGTGATTTCTTCAACGGGCCCTTGATCCGCCCATCACTGTCGCATAGTTACCATGCTAAAGAAAAGTTGAATGTAAAATCGACGCTCCCCTTCAACTTTTGTCGCGATCTTATTCGTCGGACAGCTCGTTTATTCTGAAGAACTGGAGTGCTGGGCCGAGTCCAATTAAAAATCACGGGGTCATTTATTTACGCTTGGGGTACAATCGAGCTTGAACAAGGAGGAGGAGGAGGAGGAGGAGGGAGGAGGGGTAGGTGTAAATAATGGTCAAGCAGCCAGAAAGGTCGGACACTGGCGAAAGAGGGTGAACGGTAAAGAGAAATTAAGGTGGGTGGGTAATGAGTGAAAGAAAAAAGAGATAAAATGAACGGGCACAACTTGTTTCTGATGTAAAAAAAAAAAAGAAAGAATAAAATGAAATAAAATTGCACAGGGATCTGAACTAGTTCAAACTTTTACTGAATACTCGGCGACGATGAAGCTCGTTTCAGCCCATTTTTTCGTTCCTAGCGATTCAATTATCGCGTTCGATTTTTCCATCAAAAATTACCATTTCACAGTCACCTCTATTTCCCAGATAAAATGGAAAAGCAATGTTATATACTAAAATGATTTGATGGGTCATGTGAGTTGTTAAGTTTCCATTGAGTCACCATTGAAAATAATTTAATTTTCCAAATTTGCAAATTAGCAAATTAGCAAATTTAAAAATTTGGAAATTTGTGCATGTTTCTATATTTCTAATTGTTTAAATTTCCGAATTAGATAATTTTTAATAATTACTGAAAATTATTTTTATAAAATCGAAGAAAGATATCCCTAGATACATACCATAATTGATAAAGGAAATTGAATTTGATCGTCGACACAGTTCTCGATTGGTGGACAGTTTAGACAGAAAAAAGGAGAGAAGAGGTCAGAAGCAAAAGTGGAGGCTCGTATTGTGCATCGCGTGAGATGTTTCGTCGTCCCTTTTCGACCGTGTTTCCCTTTATTTTTATTTTTCAAGGAAAATTTATCGTTCGTTTACTCATAGCTGTAGTAGCACGCGGTAGCCTTGGGGGAAAAATTGCCGAGTGTCCTCTCCATTTTCTTCTCGCTCTCTCAACCTCTGTCTTTTCTTCTTTTTGCTTTATTCTTCTACGATTCGTGATTTCTATCTTCTTTCTTCTCGCATTTTCTCGCAGCTAGAAAACGTTATATGCGAGGTCGAAGATATAAGAATGTACGAGGTATGAAAAATAAAAGTGTGAAAATACTGGGACAGAAGTTTAAGATTGAAAATTGTTAGATTTCAAAGTCAAATTGAAAATTGAAATTTCTAATTTCTAATAAAATCCTCTGAGCGATCGCCGGATGGATTCTTACGTGGGAGTGAAATTTTCCGTCGACGAAGTAAAATTGAAGGGGACGCTCTTTGATGAATTACAAAAGGGACATCGTCGGTGTGCGGCAACGAGGTACGAATTTCAATCGTACAAAGACTTTGTTCTGGTCGTCGCCGTGGCCGTTTTGTGACAGAGAAGACCACCGCGAACGGTGGGTGGAACTTAGCTCAGGCGTGATCCGGCATAATGCGAGAGCAATTTGTTGAATGGAGTTAATTCAATAGAGGTCCTCGAGCACGCCTCCGGTTCTTGGCGGGTGCAGCTTCTGGTGAACGTTAACCTCCTGCACAGCTATCGCGCTTCTTCGTTTGTCCATCCATTCAGACAGTGCACACGAATCTCCCTTTTTGCTAGTTTAGTTAAGCGTAACGCTGCCTAAATCAGGTGTAATTTCAGGGAATTAGAGAACAGCCCCAACCATTGGATCGTTCCGTATTAAATGATCAATTTTGAAACATAAGGAGATTAAATGATTTTGTAACATAAATGGCATTTATGCTACAACAATTACAAACTTAATGTTCTAAAATCCATCCATTTAATACGCAACAACTTAATATCGTGTACGATTGTTAAAAATAATTTTCTTTAATTTACGCAACATATTTCTGATAATGAAGCGATTACAGTAAGTTATAGGAAATAATAGTGGGCATAAAAATTCGCGAAATAACCTGTTTTGTAGAACGTCAGGTTACGAGTTCGGTGGATTTCTATTAAGTCATTGCGCTGGTTGGAAACGCAGCCCCCTTATCAGTTCGATAATGCACAGCGTCGACTTTTTATAACCGACCAGCGTGTTGCGAGTGAACGTTGGTTGCAGTTTAGGTTTGTAATGAAATTTAAATGGCAACCACTCTAACGGCCGACAGCAATTGCTGCTGGCCAACAGGTCACGTTACCTGGCTTTTCTTATCGAGTCTCGTGCACAACTTGCTCCTACCACGGCTAACTAATCCATCCTTTCTACCTACTCATCGTCACGTGCGTTTTTAACGTTCCCTTTCCGTCCGTTCGCTTAATCATTGCCTCTAAGGCAAAAGCTTTCCACTCTCTGCCACGCTTGCGCTCGTTTCAAATACGTAAATAGGAAACAATTATTGAAGGAGGAAGTCTGACATAATTTCACGACATAAATCTGACGAAAATGACTACGTAAGCGGTCCATTAATTACCATTGATTAATTAAATCAAGCAATGATCCAAAGTGTAACTTTAATTATACATAAATCTCACAGCCAGACAATTCTGAAATATATTTTGCGACGAAATATAATTTTTCAATCCTCTCTTTTCTCACCAGTGTCTCTCCGTCTATTTTCTAGAAGCCGCGACAAGATAAGCCGTGATTCGCGGATCCGTCTGTTTACTCACGGCACTTTGATTAAAAAGGAAGGCGTGAAATTCCTTGCTAACGAGACCGCCACGCGACGCCCGAGGATTTTTTAATTAAAAAACCGAGGGAATACTCGAAACGAAAACATTCAACATCGGTGGCAATCGTGAGCGACGATCTTTCAACGGCGTCGCCGGCCGGGAAACAAAACCAGGTCGAAAACAGTGAGGTACCTCGTGTATTCTTTCGTAGAATGCCTCGTAGCGAAATTACGAGGTGAAACGGAACGACGTGAATCTCGTTAAGGTTGCCAACATTATCTCTTATTTGCGGTGGAAAAAACAAGAAAAACAGTCGTATTATAACGCCTGTCCATCTGTTCGTTTTGATGGCTACGTAGCCGGTGGCGGTTTATGTTTTTCCTCCCTGGAAATGAATCAAATTAACTCATTTGTTAATTTTGTTTGATGGATTATTTCAGATAATACATGGACGTATTTGCAATCGTGTAGGTGTTATAGAATTGAAAATTCATTTATGATGATTTATTAAGTATAAAGTATGATTTATTGTTAGGATAAATTTTCAAAAATTCTTTGAGTTATTTGAAACTTAACGTTTTCTTTCTTTTCTGTTAGCCAATTTTCCGAATTGATTTTCAACGGTGTTCACTTGTTAACATTTCACGTCATCAAATGCAAATGTAAATGTGTGCCGAGGCTCGATCGAGCGTTATCCTGTCTCCATCACGAGATTGACGCCGTTTACCTCGAGTCATCGAGGACACGGCGCGAAGGGGTCTTTGTTGCATAGATTGTAGCCAGATGCGGATGCACGCAGGAAGCGTATAAACACGCGGTCCACACCGCTGCGAACCTCCTGTCTCCGCCATGACTGATGACCGGCATTACGATTTGTCAATAACAATTGTCCCGGGTATAACTGCATCGCGCAAACTGCAACTGATGGCTAACATCGATTGTTCACGTCCACCTAACTGTCCGCCAACCGAACTGACCCATAACCCATCCGTACCAAAAATCTGCTGTCGACAGAACACACCCGACCCAGAAATTCCAGCAAATACCCTGGAAACGTTGTTCTCCATAATATCCTCTGTCTCTGCTTAGCAATGATACATCGTTCGGTTAAGTGGACGAAATGAAACGAAGATGATTTTATTCATTAACCATGCATCTTTCATAATTTTCTTAATCCGTTCCGGTACATTTTCAGTGCATTTATTAAGATAACCTTAATTTATTAAAAATCTGATACAATTCAAGGTGTAGGTTAATTTTTAAAATAGATTTTTAGTAAAAGTTAATTCAACCACATCACGTTCATAAGATTGGCTAAAAGCAATTAAGAATAATACAAATTTAATTAGAAACCCTTCCACTCCCGGAATCTCTCCGTACCTAATTATAATTCCAAAGTCCGTGTCCGTATGACATTTTGAAGCGAGGAAACCGCAGAAGAAAATGCATCTGTCCGTGTATATCCATGTCACGTTCTAATTAATCCGCGTTAAAGAAACCACGGTTTTTGCTTTATCAGATCCATTTAGTATCTCGTAAAACATCTGTGATTTTGCGTTTGCTTTTCAAGATGGAAATCACGTGCGAGCAAGCATCCGGAAAAGCGACGGAGCGAACGGACATTTAGAGATCACGAGTAACCACCCTCAGCTAAGATGACCCTGTTCGAAGCGAGGTTCGACGTGGCTTTCGGGGTCGGGATATCGCATTATTCCCGGCTGAATGGGGTAAATCAGGATCTCGTAGAGTTTCAACGTGGAATCGACGCTGCTCTCGGATTGCTGATGCCGAGAGGATGAGGATTGGTTGCCAGCGGCTGCCTTGGGAATTCAATTACAGCTACGGAACAATGACAACCGCGCCGGTAACGAAGGGATCGTCACCGAGAGGTCAGCGGTGTACACGGTATTTACAAATGCATATCCGCTCCTGCATCGACATTTTTTTACAGTTTATTCCGATCTTGTTCCTCCGAATCTCTGCAATTTGGAGGAATGTAAGTTTCGTCAGGAAACGAGTAGGCGTAGATTTACTCCCTTAGACTCGTGAATTTTATAATTTGGGGGACAAATTTACATTAATCAATTTTAGCTAGTCTAAAATTATTCACCGAATTTTAACAGAAAGTGTGTTTGTACCTCATTCTTGCTTGTCATCAATATAGAAAGGGGTTGCGGAATTAAATCCAATTTTGAGAAGGGGTTGATATATGAAAGGGGTTGAAAGTCCCTGCCTTGAAACATTACTATGCTCACAAATGCTACCTTTAATGCATTCAATATCATACTTCACTTTCAAATTAAATAATTTGTTCTTCTAAAGACGATCGACTAAAAAATTTATAATTAAAAGTCATCGGAATTTTCAAGGATTGCGTGAACTTCGCAATCGGGATTTATGGCGGAAGTGGTCATCCGGGTAAACATCGGTTTCACAGAGAACGGCAAGAGGGAAAAAATTGACAAAGAAACAACCCCTTTGGCACGGTCGAGGACGAGTTTCGTAATTACGTTATGGAGAGGAAGAGGGGATGAAAAGTAGAAGGGTGGTTCTGGCTCACTCGCACGATCGACCATGCGTTTAGGAACAGCAATGGATTCCGTCAATAACCTCTTTAAAAGAGACTAAATTCATTATTTGCCTTCTATTCGAAACGTTGGCGTGTTGCCCACTTTTTCTGAATTTCCTTTTATACCCTCCTAAAGGAAGTTTTGATCGCAGGGTTACTATGGAAGGGTCCTGGATAGAACCTGTCCAATCCAATATTCCAAATCGGATGTATTATTGATCACGCAGTATCAACACTGCACGTTTATTCTTACTTCTATCCAATGAAATAACAATTCTTTGTAAAATTATATAAATGTGTGATAATATTCTTTGAAATTTTCTTTTACTTATGCTGGCGAAATTTTATCAATATTTTCCTATAAATATTATATAAATGACACGTTTAACGTTGTGTTTCCAACACTCGTGAAGTGGCTGGGAGAAATATCCGTAAAACTATTTTCTGCTGATGATCATCGCGTCCATGGTTCGCATGGTTCCCAAAGAATTTAATTTTGCTGGAAAAGCCATTATGTAAAAGACCCGTAGCGACCCTTCCTATGTACGGCAACAAAAACTCTCCTGAGAGCATCTATGTAAACCGAACGAGTTTTTAATTGTACGAGCATCACGTTTTAGGTCGTACGTTCGAACAGCCAGGGGTCACTTTGTCCCCAAGGGGTTGGAAAGACACGTGTGGTTAGCCCGTCAAGATGTTTTCCCGTGACCCTTTTCCGTCCCCCTAATTGTTCTCATATTTGACAAGCGACCTTATCTTTCCATACCTGTCCTGAACGAACAGCCACCTACTAATGCACACTCGCCTTTATGGACATTCACATGCAAATGCACAACCGGCTGTCTATACCGATTCACATCGCTTTTCTTTTTTTTCTTAGTTGGTCATTTTAAACGTAGAAGGTTAGGGATGCAAATTAAGTCAATGTTAGAAATGCATATAACTGCGTGAAAGAATCGTCGAATGCAAATGCAGGTTCTAGTTAAAATTCCCCTTTGTGGATACGTGTGCTTAGAAACACCTCTCTGTGTGATCTCTGATAGTTAAAGGAGACACTGATGGATAGGCAGTTCCACAATTTGAAAATTTAAAAAAATTAGAAATTTCTTCAAGTTTCAAAATTCCCAAACTTGGAAATTTATAAATTAGTAAATTTGAGAATTTGATGTATAATGGGTTTCAGAAACTAATATAATAGCGGTTATGACTGTAAAATAAGTTATGTAAGGAAAGGTTAAGGTACGATAGGAATGGTCCGCGTTAACATGGAACTCGTTAAGGGATTGGCATCGTTGGAGGGACGACGAAGGTTGCAATGCGGATTGCGGAAGCAGTCGCGAGCGTTTTCGCGCTTCGCAGCCGCAGAGCAGTTCGAAGTTGCCATTCGGAGCACGTAGATTGCTAACCTAACTTGTTTAGCGGTTTTAGCGGTATTTGATTAGTTGAGTGAATTTCCGAACAGTTTCAGACCGCTCGGTGCTTGGCTTCGAGCTTCTAGCTAGAGATCGGACGACGACAAACCTTCGACGAATTTTCCATGTGCACGTCGCGTAGCGTAGCGTCGCGTCGCGTCGCGTCGCGTCGTCTGACTGACGCGTGTGTAGGTGTATGTACACAGACCGAGTATCAACACAGCGTTCTCTCGAAATTCAATGGAACTTGTAAACTGGTCGAATTCCGAAATCGAAATTTAGTTGCTTACCTTGAGAGTAGTTCATGTCCTTCTTTCATGTACCTCGATGATTACTCCGGCTCGGAGTCACGATCACACGAATACACGTCACCACCTGAAATCAATTCATTTACTTCATTAGCAACACCTTCGATCATTTCTGCTTCACAAACGTGGCTACTTCGTATCTATATCCTATATAATCCATTTCGAGTCGCATCCATACAGCACTCTCCCTTTTTCCTCTTATTTTACTGCTTCCCAAACTTCCCCATTATATCCTCGCTGCCTTAGAAGGGCAGACGTTATCCGATTATTTGGTCCATTTTCCTGCCATGGCACAAATGCATTCTTCGATTACCGCCTCACCCGATTGTATTTTCTTAAGTGGTATTTGCTAAGACAACTTTGTCCACTTTCTTCTAATTGTCCTTCTATGTGTCATTCTTCTTCGGACGAAGACAAATGTCGCCAAACAGACGACGATTATCTTAGCAATCTGAATGAGTCAGTAAACAATGGCTTTCGATACCAAATTTTTGAAGAATTTTCCAAGTATTACTCTTATTGGATATTTAGAACAAATAAATAAAATTCTATTTTATTTAATTTAACTTTTTAATTTTCTCCTTTAAAATTATAAATCCCTTTTTATTGGTTAACACTATACATCTATACGGTTGTTAGAGGTAGCGTTCCAATTCGTTTCATAAGTTGCTAATTAGCTCGCCAGATGAACACGTAATTTGCGGTGGTATTAGCCTGGGTTAGCCAATAAATCCTTCTCGTATATTGCCACCACTAAGGAGATTTAACGGGTCTGCGTAACCACCCTCGTGGATACTTCGATTTTCCAATTGGTATTGGTACTTCGTACAGAACAATATAGGCTAAGCAACAGCTGATAAATAAAATCACATCACGAAATCACGAAATTTGTTGCAATTTAATAAATATGAATTTTTTTCATAATTAAATCGATTTCCATAAGATATATGTCGTTGAAATTTATTAAACAGTGTAATTTATTCACTAATTGTACATGTAATATGAGATAGAAGGACAATGGAAGGATCCTCAACTTTAACGTCCAACAGTGTTGATCGTTAGGTCGATGTAGCAACATTAGCCAAGTATTAACCTGAAATGAACGTATAATGGTGGTGTCGGGGATTTGATGTCAGCATCAAGGATCGGATATCGTATGGCGTTTACCAGCATGCATGTTCCAAGGTATTGGGTTTACATTATATATGTATGTTCGTAGCGTCGTTAAAATTAAGCGATATATCGATATGCGCATCGAAACATGGTACTAGTATCGTGAAATTTAGACATAAAGTTGGGAAAATGTATTGCATTTTTTATAACTCTAATTTATTTCAACAATTCCAATTTCAATTAACAATATTTCTGAATTATGAAAAATGAATTGTTGGCCATTTTTTCTTCTAACAAAAATCGAATAGTTATAGGGCTAACTGGAACGACCTCGTACAAGAAATATCCTGGTAGGTACAGCCCGAGGCTGGAATCGATCAATTTCCATGAAGCATCGATAAAGGGAAACGGGTCCCAAGGGAAGCAGTATAGGTGGGGAGCATTCAAAATGAATTCACGAAAGGCGGATAGGATTCTTTAGGCCAACAGCAGCTTGTTCGCCGGGCAATATGGTCTGGACATTTGCAGGATAAAAGGTTGAAGGTCGGTACGCGAGGTATGTAAAAGCTTGAACGTTGGCGAGTCGATGGACCCTGCTGGCCTCGCGAACCTGAAGATGGCCGAGGAGAAAAATTGAATTATCATAAAGAAATTGCGTCCGAATATTTCGTTCGGTTCTATTGAATGCCAACGAGTAGATGAGAAGGCATCGATAGGTTTTTCCAATATCGGCCTCGAGGACATGCATCGGGAATTTTAAGAATCAAGATCATCTTTGGACTATCGGACTACCGAGATGAAAATTAAAGAATCGATCTTGTAAGTTGCGTTTTTTAAACGTTTCAGTTGTTGCAAATCCTTGTTAAATATTTTCAGACTTCAACCAGGTTGGGTTAGAATTCTTTGTAGCAATGCACTCGATTGTTCACCACGAGTTTATCTCCAGAAATTTAATGAACTTTCCAATTACATCCTACACCATTTCGCCGGCCTCTAAACTTCTATCCATCCCCCGCTGGTTCGAGATCAAACTTTCACAGAAAATTACACGCCCATCGCCGATCGTTCGTCAAAGGGACGTACGTTTCCTTTCATGGTCCCGTGTCTTCCGTAGCCGGTGAAACGCAAAGAGTGTCGAAAGTTTCGCGGGAAAGTTTCCCGTCCAAGTCCGAAAATGCGTCGTATCCGACGGCAAAAAGAGCAGCAAAGGAGGAAAAGTACAGCAGGACTTTCTCATGAGCGAAAGAAACGAGGGAGAGTTTAAAGGCCGTCTCGTGAACCGATGATGGTTCTTCGCCCTTTTCGGTACACATACTATACGTATAAAACTCTGAGCTTTTCAATAAGCGTAAACTGTGTCCTACTCTCAATAATTATAAACATTTAGTTCATTTAATATTTCCAGATATCCCTGAGTCGTTCATCTTTGATATGCTTACGTTTCCTTATATTTCAATATACATATATTTAGCTGCGAGATAAGCGGTTTTCTTAGATCCGCAGAAAAAGAATCTCCAATCTCGAATATGAAACGAGAATTTCATTTCCCTCTGCCTAGGAAGGAGCTGACGTAAGCGGTGGGTTCTTGACGACAGAAATTAAAAGCGCTCCGTTGATCCCATTAATCTTGAGATGATAAAACGATTAGCGATCCTAATGGAAAGAGATATTGAGGAAGCGGAGAGGAGCGGCTCCGTTCGAGAGCCGAACGGATGAAAAATTCTTAAGAAGCAGCTCGAAGGATCGTGGAATACCTGCGAAATAATACTATTCCATCGTAAATTAAAATGGAAGAGAGAGAAAAAAGTCAGATATTCAATTTCGTATACATAAATTATATTCGATTCTCGTTTATTCATCTAACGATAATCCCAAATTTTCACTTTTGCAAGTTTTTAAATTTTCCAAATTTCCAAATTCCCAAATTCCCAAAATACCCAAATTTTCGAATTATCAAATCACGAAATGCTGATCTCAGAAACAATTATCTTCATTGGGGATAGATTTTTGAAAATAACCGGGGTCTGTCACAGGATGAAGCTCTGTCTGGTACAACTGTAACGAAAGGCACACCTGATTAAGAATGCACCCCTCCAAAGATATCCATGACCCCATGGTTGGGGTTGGTGACATTAATAGCGACTACCGTCCAAGATCCGACCACCTCAAGGCATCTTATATTTAATTCAACGTGACCACTAATTCACTCGGACGCATATTCAATCATTTTGAGGTATATAATGTACGTATATGCGCCCGTAATGTCTTTATTCTCGTTTACGTTCATTTGGGTTAATAGTGGAACGATGTGGGTAACCGGAGAACTGAAGTTACTTCTGTAGAACCAGTTAGAGCGATGGAACTGCGTTGTGGAAGTACATTGTTTATTCATTTGTAGCTACGTATTCTTGTGCAAAGCTATTGCGGGATAATTTAACGTTGTGATTTTAAAGGGAATGCGTCTTAAAAACAGTCAGAATTGTAATAAAATTTTCTAGATTAAAATCCACCCACTATGTTACCATTTTTTCACAAACCAAATAAGTTAATAAAACCATAGAGAACGAAAAACAAAATAAATGAATGATAGAAAACAATTATTTTAGTGGAAATTAGACTTGCAATTATTTCATTTCGAACAACAATGAGAAAATTAATCATGCGTTGTTATCTGATGTTCTTAACAAACGAAATTTCCCATCTAGGGAAAATTAATATCCAGTCGTTTGATGAAATCGGAATTATCGTTCAATTAACTATCGGTAGGACACGTATCCAACAGAGGTACATTATTGGATCAATCGATTCGGTACTGAAGTCAATAAATGGTGTAGTTTGTAATGCCAACAGCGTGCGATTAATAATTACGATTAATTAGGGAATCATGTCGGATGCTGGTAACTGGGAACATTTGTAGTAAAAGCAAAGTGGATGATGAGTCCTTATTTGATGTACTCTGATGTTTGTGTTTCATCGAGCTTCAATCACCGTCACTTTTAGTTGATGTTACCAATACGGTTACCTAATTTACAGATATCTTTATAGATAATTTTTTTTCTATAACAATACCGTATTTTTTTTTTTTCATAATTTGCAATTGCATTTTAAATTACAATTGCTTTCTGACGCATAAACGTCGACCTTAATTTATAGACCGTCACATGATGTTCCTAATAAATTCAACCTCAGATATTTATGACTACGCTTGAAGAATTTCAAATAGATTCCCTCTGTTTCCTCGTTTCTTTCCTCTGACCTATTTCAAATAACACAAGTTTCGTATTTTGCATATTTTATTGTGGAACAAAAGTTTATTTAGATAATATATTCATCGCACTGTTTTTTTCACGAGATAGGTTTAACTCGAGAAAAGTTTATAATACTTCAAGACTGTAAGACCTTTTCCAAGATATTTCACTTTCAAGCAACGCCACTCTGCCACGGGGTTCCACGACAATGACCATCAATATATTTCACTGATTTTTACTTTTTTTGTCATAACTTTAAAACAATTGAAATTTTATATCTACTAATTTTCCCGTATTCCGACGTTGCCTTCGCTGATTCATTTTTAAATTCATTCGCCTCCTGGTTCCCATATCCTGAGCTTTCTATCGCCTCGTATATTCTAGTCGGCTCTGTTCGCAATAAGAATGGCCCGGTTTTATCCGACGAAGGCGGCAGCTGTAGGAGGCTGCTGGAATGGCTGTTGGTCCGCGTCGAAGCGGCGATTTCCAGCAGCACGGAGACGCGGCTGCTCGTCAGGCGGAATACTAATTCGGGATCGCAGATTTACAGCTTCTTAATTTCGTAGGTAGCTTTATAAATTGGAACAGCGTGGCGCGTTGAAACGCCAATGCAACGACTTCGCCAACCCTCGTTGCTTTACTCGTCCACCCACCCCCGCCTCGAGACACCCCCATCGTTTGTCCCGTATCGTCGGGAATACTAATGACCCGGCAGTAGACTAATAAAAATTGTTGCGACGATTCGTGAGCGAAGTAAATGCAGTCAGCATTTGTCTCTTTACCCGGCGAGCGGGGCAGCTAATTTTTCATGCGATTTCACATCTGTGCCGACTGAAATTTCTCTGATTCTCTCGCATCAAGGCACTTTTGATATTTTCTATCGAAAATGCGAACAATGAGGCTCGAATTACGGTATAAATGTAGAGAACACCGCAACGCTTACTTGACCAACGAATTCTTCCATCCTTTGATTGTTGAAGCTTGGCCGGCAAAGGTCTGCTTTGTATTAACGCAGCAAAATTTGCTGAGAACCTGACCAAAACCCGTCGTAGCCGACGTATTAATTAGAAGCTCGACCTTAAAGCACCTGCACCGGGCTCTAGCCCTTAAAGTACCGCACCCGCGGTCTGGCGAATTCACTGCTCGGATTTCACGTAGCCAGACTGGAGTTTAGTACACCGTGGGGGTAATTATTCAAGCGGCATCTCCCATGGCAAGGGAGAGTCACGCAAGGATACAACAGGGTGCTGGGGCTCGGTTGAACAAGGACCAACCACCGCGGATGGTGGCAACCTGAAGAGAGGCTTTCTCACCGAGTCATCCATCACTCGGTAACCTACGCGTGTAGACGCGAACGCTCGGAAATAATTGAGCAAGCAACGAGAGAAAGAATTTCCAGGATATTTCTGCAACCGTAAATAATAAATGACCTTGTTGAGATACAACTTTTTCACGGATTTGTTTCCGCGCAAGCATTCCCAGGGATAATACGCAGCATTATCACTCAAGTTTACATTTGTAATGTACGATTTGCAGCACAGAATAATTAAAAATTAATTCGTATTATCCGTCGCTTCAAGGGTACTGAATTTGGTGTTAATGGGTGTTTCGCGCAAGCATTTTCGATAATGCAAGTCAAGGAATAATTTCTGAGTAGAAGGAAGCAAGCTAGCGAGCCCTTCCAATTTAACGAGGTAACTTGATATTACCCGATCCTACCTAACCTATACCGCACACCTGAACGAGATTGCGAAAGTTTTCATAGAAAGTAACGTCCATCCATAAATCGTTTGGCCGTGACTCTGCGCGATTCCCTATGCATTCTTTTTTCTTTCTTTTATTTTTCTCTGCAACAACGAATGAAAATTTACATGTAAAGTGCGTGAAATGCAGCTTTCTCTAGTTTCGAACGCGATGACGTCTTATGACGCCATCCGTAGTTGGAGCGCTTTCGTACGTCCCCAACTTGAAAAATGGAATTTTGGCAGGGGTCTTTTTTCAATCACCGTTATCGGCCAGTTGGCAAGCCTGCCGTGAAAAAATAAAGGGACGAGTAAGAAGGCAGACGAGAGTCGATTGTAATAGAAGGGAGAAGACGAAGACGAAGACGGGATCAGCTCGCGAAACTGAATAAGCCTGGTCTGTTTCTTTGAGGTCGAGGCAGACGACAGACCGAACCTCCGAGACTTTAAGTCTCGGCACGTCGCCGATGAATGGCCTGACGAGACTCCGCGAGACTTTGTGAGACAATCGCTGGGGAAATCTGGGGGCCCTGCTGATCTACCCTTCGTCCGTGTCTCCACTCATCCTTCTGTCTTCCGATGTATATACTCTTACGTACTGTCCCGTCCTATTTCGTTGACCCGATCCCCCCTGCTTTTTGTCCCACAGGTCTCGCCTGCCCCCAACCACGTTTAATCGTACGAACGTCTTGCGATTAAATTTCACCGCCATGACGAACGATTGTCTTGGGTCAGTGACCCATGGTACACCAACACGTTTCCCAAAGAATTACAATACCAACGTTTCTTAGGTTTATTATATTTAAAACACAACCAGCATAAATATTCTTCTTTTTCCTCGGATTCTTGATCCTTAACAAGTTTGATGACGAACTTTTATTAGGTTGCGAACGAACCTTATATTTTTCCCTTTCTTGTTATTTTCTTCATTACCTGTTTCCGTGCAAGAAAATTTTAATACCCCCTCGTAACTTCTCTGGCGGGTAAGTTTTATTTTTTTTAATCTTTGCGACAATGGAATCGACGATGGTTTTTCTTGGAACGAGAACAAGTCTAGTATAAGCGACTACTTGGAATATTCATGAAACAGAGCAGCGACTTTAGTTTAAGTTTTACCTTAAAGAATCTAACCGTGTAGTATTTAACTTTTCCCTTCGAATAAGTTACCTACGTACCGTGTAAGTATGAAAATACTTTGCGTCTATTGTTCTTCTCTCAATGCAAACAATTACGTACAATTCAAACGCGTTCTGTACAATATTTTCTTAATTAACAACAAAACCTATTCTAGCTCTCAAAGAACGAATAATTTCGTTTAAAAAATTTCGAAATAAATAAATTATTTCAGTCGTGCACACGAAATTGCCCGTAGCGCACTCTTGTGCACGCGAGCATTCGGCTGCCCTACGGGCAACTAAATTGATTGCTTAAATAACTGCCAAAAATCGGTCTCAATATGAACATCATGCATACTGTATTTCTATCTATAAAAAACATAAAAATCTCTGGAGTCACTCTATATAATATTCATATCTGAATTGAAAAATTGGCCATCGAATATGTTGCTAAAGCTTCCAGTAAATCACGCATAAAAAAGTAGGAGAGAAAGGCTAGCTTTCATGCATAGTTTCTACCGTCTGTCATCGTAACTCTGTTCCGTCATAAATAATTCCTTCTTCGCTGGATACAGCGCGGTGTTACTCGCTTCTGTGCAGTATACATTAGCCGGACAATTGGCGATGCGTCAACTTTGCCCGATAATCGATGCTGGATATTTCATTATTCAGAAAGTTACGCAAACTCGTTCCGGTTGCTGACCCAGAAACTGCTCGTTACGCCGGGATCGCGTCTATGACTTTCAATGAATGGAAACGTTTTCACGAAAGCTCGTGACAAATATGCGCTTCGATCGTAAGCGAAACTGGAAAACAGAAAAAACTAATGCGGATAGGGAGATTGGTGGGTAAGTCGAGGTTCGGCTCGGAGAGGGGAAAAATCGGGCGAGATAGGGTTGATGTTTATTTCGCATAACTTTCATCCGCAAGGTAGATGCATTTATAAATTAAAACTACTCTGGTTCATCTGACGAGACGGTTTTCGTTGAAACTTCGACGAATGAATTCAAAGCTTTAGCAAACACTTAATTGCCTGTATTTTCATTTTCTTTAATCTTCGAGCGGAATATTTCTTCGTGGAGAACGGGGTTCGGTGTTTGTCCAGGCAAAGGAATTCCACGGGACAGCAATTTCAACGAGCGATATTTATTGCTCGAAGCAGGTACCCATGGGGTTTGGAAGCGCAATATGGCACACGTTGCCGCTGTACTCTGTGTCACCGTCATTTATTACACTTTTAACGAGGCCGCGTGTGTTTCGCGCGGGGTCATCACTTTTCCGTTTGAGATGCTGGCAAAAGAGGTAAACGCGTACGGCATGTCAGCCGCGTTTGCTAACAGCCTCACAATTAAATGTCTCGTTAACTTTGTCCCGTCGAATAATGCTATTCGAATTTAGTCTTGCGTGGCTTGTGCGTGAAGGGTCTCAAAGATAGCCGAGCTTAAAAAGCG